AATGATTTTTATTTCTAAAGCTTTAGAAACCTTACTTTTAAAATGTTCAACAGCTAATTTCAATATAAGGAAAATAGGTACTTATTTACCTTTCCATCTTATAAAGCAGCAGGAAGCAAAACTGGGCTGATAACAGTTGATATCAGGAGCATAAAAAGGGACAGTGGTTTTGTCTGCACAATCATGGCTACCATCTTGTTTTCATTTTTTTTTAATTCTCCCTTGCAAGCGATCTTGTCTTGGTACAATAGACTGGATTGATAAATTATAAAACTTCCAGCAGAAGGCAAAGAATATTTAACTTGAATAACAATTTTCAGTTCAGAAAAAATGTACCCAATACATTTAAAATAAAAATAAAAACAAGAACTTGATGTAACTGTCATTTTATCCTACATTTCTGATATCTGCAAATTTTATAAAACATTCTATGACATAAAATCATAAACATTTTATGACATAATACAAAATGTAATAAATTATTTTCTGCGATCAACTCATTTTTTGAACGTGCTATACAGCTGAACACAGGCTACAGGAGTCTTTGACTTATGACCAACAGTTGCTTATGGACAGTTTGAAGTTAAATGGACTTCCCCAGAGTTCACAGCTCCAATGATTGCCCACCCCCTTGGGGAATTGGTGTGATTACCCCCACAGCCCATTGTTCCCCAGAATCTGTCATGTGTTGTGTCTCTTCAAGCAGTGTCTACTTCTGTGGATAGGCACCTGTAGTCTACCTAAGGCTGCCCCGAGTCACATGAAACCTTTTTTCCTTGAAGCGGCTTTGAAAAATGCTCTTTTGCAGCCTTAAAAACTGCATAAAAGTATTCTTGATATTTAAGCCCTGAAGAAATGTTTTCATTCTGCAGGTGCTCAAAAAGTTATTGAAACTAAATTTGGAAAATGAACATGTAAAACATTGTATGATTCAGTGGGCAAGGAACTTTGGATACAAAGTGATGTTTGAACAATGGGAAAATATGTGGACGAAGGATTTCAAATTCACATTAAATTACAATCTAAAAGAACATTTTTATAAGATGATGTACCATTGGTATTTAACACCAGATAAGTTATCTAAGTTGTATAAAGGTATGTCAAATGAATGCTGGAAGTATAAAAGTCCATCTATGATGGACATGTGATAAAGCAAAAAAAAAAAAAAAAAAAAGGAGTATGAGTCATATTTTAAAACAATTTTTTTGGGAAAACAGAGATAAAAATGAAACCAGAACTTTTCCTTTTGGGTCTAATGGAAAAAGAACTAGAGAAAAAATGTGGAACTTTGTTACTATATATGTTGACAGCAGCAAGACTATTGTATGCACAAAAATGGAAGGACACTTTGATTCCTACCATGGAAGAATGCTAGCAGAAATTGATGGAGTTGGCCAAAATGGCAAAATTGACCACTTTGATTAAAGAAAAGAACAGTAAGTACTTTTGTTTCCACATGGAGACCGCGCTTGATGTAGAGAAGAATGAAACTTTGACTTTAGGATTTACCGATTAGACTGATAGATCTATATAGAAATAGCTTGTTCACACTATTAGGAAAAAGCAAAAAGTTGTGATTTGATGTTAATGCCTTATTTTACTGTAAAAGAGAGTCAGAAGTCAACGCTTCTTTTTCTTTTCTTTCTTTTCTTTCTTCCCTTCTCCTTCCCCTTTCCCTCCCCCACTGTTTTCCTATTTACTTTGTATTTTGTATTTTATATTACTTTATAACTCAATAAAAATGTTAACTTGAAAAAAACTGCATAAAAGTACACTGCATTCTTGCATGATTTTTGGAGTTCTACTTCTCACATGACTTCTGGAGGTTGCATGAGAGGCCATTCTCCCATGGCCTCAGCAGCCTTGAAAAATCATGTGAGAATGTGGCGAGCTTTCAAGATTAGTTGTTGCCAGATGTTGGTGAATGCTGGAATGTCACCCAAAACATTTTTGATATATCACCTTTGACAAATATCATAAGCTTGCCATCATTGGCTTATGCATTATAATAAGTGGTCTTAGGTCTTAATGCAGTCTTAAGCATTCTGCAAAATATGATATTAAAGGTGACACTTTGCTCTGAAATTGGATCTATACTTGTAGAGAGATTCTAACCCTGAAGAGATTGTATTTGAACATGGACTATAGAATAGAGCCAAAAACATAAAACAGATGACTTCTTTTCTATGCAGGTATCATGGAAACAAGATAAAGATTTGTAGAAATCTAGCCTATTTATTACTAGTGTCAAAAGGACAATATTCCAATTTCAAAATCAATCTTAAAATAGAGATGCTTAAACAAAAAAAATGCCCTCACTATACTTCAATCAAAACCAGGGACAAATTTTTAAAAATTGTTATAAACTATGTATATGTATATATGCTTCAGTGCTTCTGGCTGCTGCTGCGCTCCTGAGTTGCTGCAGCAGTCACATGATCTTTATTTTCAACTTTCTGTGATAGTTTCTTAGCCAATCTCATATTTCCCTCCCCAACCCAGCAGCAGCTACTTACCTACCTGCTGGGAAGGGAAGGGAAAGGAAGGGAAGGGAAGAGGTGGGGGAGGGAGGGAGAAAGGAGAGGAATAGGGAGGAAGGAAGAATGCCAGTCTGGCCCACACCACTTTTCCCTTTGCCTTCCTTTACCCCTGAAACATCTTTTGCACATACTTGTGCATCTTTCCCAACTTCCCATTATAGGAGTTTGCATACGTGCAGGAATTTTCCTATTTTGGAAGGCAAACCTCAGATAAGGAAGGTTACATGCACGTAGGAGCCAGGAAATGGCATTAGAAAATAAGACCCTAACTCTGTAAATAAGAGGAGCAAGAGAGGAGGAAATGGGATGTTATACTTTAACTATAGCTAAACATTATAAGAGCTTAAGCAAACAGTAATGGTTAACCAAAGATTTTAGTTACCTGGAAGATTCTGTGAGCCAATGATATGCTGCCAAATACGCTGTAATTTGTAGTAACAAACTATATAATGTCTCTCTGTATAGCAATAAATACCACATATATTCTCAACCTCTCTGTGTGTGGTCATTTACAACATCCCATCCCATACCACACCACACCATTCCTTTTCCTACCTGTCAGTAGACATAAAGGAAGAGAAGGAGGGAGGGAGGGATGAAGGAAGGCCACCCATGTTCATTCTGTTTCTCTGTTTAGGTAAGAAAATACCTCTGAAACGATAACCCGTGGGTTGTCTGATACTAAATATATAACACTGTTCTTTACAGTTTATAGTACTGTTTATGTTTATTGTAGTTGTATGCTATTGAGATATAACAAATGGGATACATTTATTAAAACATGTTTTAGTAAAGATTAAATATAACATAGGAACCATAAATAAAAATACACAGAACTTACAAAAATATTACCAGACGTAATGATCACGCTAAATACAGCATAAAAATCACATTAATAATGCTAGTCATAAAAATATTTTTGAAATCATTAAAATAGCTGCTAATATCCTTGGGAAAAGAACATGGTTATCTTTTTTGTATTATTGGGAGAGAGTACATGGTGAATACCTAAGATGCACAAATTATGATAAATATAGGTAACAAATGAAAAAACATTGCTTTGGGTAGCCTTTTCCCAAACTATTTAAGTTGTTCTGTTCATATCAGCACTTTGAATTGGGACCAGAGATATGCTGATAACCAAAGCTAAAAGTATTGAAGCTTTTTAAAATCACAGTAGTATTCAAACAAACTGTACAGCATATAGCTATAACTATGATGTTGGAAGCAAAGGAAAGAAAAAGAAAGCAAGCATATGTAGGAACCTTTAAACGAACCTATTGAAACAGTGCTATTTCTCATGATTTGGAGTTGCCATTATTTGTCACTAAGCCTTGAAAATCTGAGCATTTAACACCCCACTGTGACAAGTTCATTGAACATCTTATAATAAATTTCTTAGCATGCTGATTTGGTGTAAGTTCTCAGCTTTCCAACTGACTTCAGGGGAAGCCTAGAGTTTTGACTGTCCCAAATTTGTCATATTAGTTTCAGAAATTGCTTCTTAAGTTGTCAAATTTGTGAGGAAAATGACAACTTTCTACAGCCATATCTCACATGGAAATTATTAATTAAAATTAACTGGGGGCAGTGGGATTGCTTGATTGGTGAAATAATCACTGATATAGCTAAATTAGAAAAGAATTTGTTGGGTTTTCATTAAAATATATTTGATTTGGTGTGAAAAATTTGTTGAACAGGTGATGAACATTTTTCAGAGTTCCATAGTTCTCAGTATATTTTCAGAAACTAATATGAAGAGAACTTTACATCTGACCAAACAAAATCTCCAGTTCACCAGTATTTCTTTCAATATCCCAAATACATGAATCATGTAAAGATATGAATAGCAATAGCAATAGTACTTAGATTTATATGCCACTTATATGTCATTTCATAGTTCTGCTGGCATTCGACAGAATTAGCCTGCAATATTTCATTCTAACCAATGTTCATCATGACTCTTCTATTACTTTCTACTACTTCTATTTTCTATTACTACTACAATGGATTTATTTTATTTGAGAGATTAAGATTATATAAAGAATTTAGCATTAAAATCCCATGTTGCCACTATGTTACCATTATGTTACCTTCCAATTATGTAACCATGATTTATATAAGATCATATGTGCACATACATATGCATTTATATATAGTATATAACTTGCATATTTTATATTTTTATTATAGGCTGTTTTACTGTAAATGTCACAAACAGATTGATACTTAGACAAAATATCAACATACTAGATTAGAATTTGCTATCGTGTAAGAAATAAATATAACCATAATAGTTTTTCTGTATATGAATCACAGCCCAAGCCACTGAAGAATAATCCTGTACTTCCAAATAACTCAAATCCTACTTGATAATATAACATGAAGAACCCTCCATGATATTCAATTAAAATTCATTCATTAATTGATACATAAAGGACAATATACATATATACATACTGTGAAGATTTCACATAATGTGGTATTGTAGTATGAACTCGGTTGTAGGTAATTAAGTCAACAAAAGGGTTGTCTAGATCCTCAGAATTCTCTGAACCAATACAGCCTCTGTTTGAACGAGAACATGCAAAAATAAAGCATATTTAACATAACTAAATTGTCCAAAAGCAATTGTTTTCAGGATGAACAGAAAACTCAGCAGTGCTTTTAGCAAACCCTCACAAAATATTTTTGGAACAGATTTTAGGGAAGCTAAAAAGAATAGGAAATGGGTGAATTAATTCCCCCCAAAGCCTTTATATTCAGGCTTGAGAAATTGACAGATCAAATCAAACCAACATAACTGGTGACCTATCATGCCATACAGGCATTAAGCTATTCTTGGTCACATGAATATAGACATTTTGGCTGACCATGATTTTCTTCTGGATTTTATCACTAATAAAGAATTCAGAAAAAGGGCATGGTCCTATGTGGAGCTCATTAAATTCCTCAAATGTCATAGTCTTTGTGGCAACTTCATAGTCTTTGCTCGTAAACTGACTTTTAGACAAACTGATGAGAGGAATACCATTAGCAGCAGACACTTTACTGAGCCATTCTTTACCAACCACCTTCCTTTCTTATTCCATAGCTCCTCTGTGGGTGGTCATGTCATGAGAATATTTACAATAAATAAGAATTTCCAACATCAATAAAAAGAATATAAGAAACCAAGTCCTAGAAGTCCAACTTCCTATTATTTACAATAGTTATTTAATACCCTGTTTCCCTGAAAATAAGACATCCCCTGATAATAAGCCCTCCCCGAAAATATTTAAACGCAAAGCTGGAAATCAGCTACGATGGCAAGAGGAGCCCCATCTTGCTCCATGCGCCCCAAAATAAGAAGACTTCCCGAAAAATAAGGCCAAGAGCTTATTTCAGGGTTCAAAAAAATATAAGACAGGGTCTTATTTTCAGGGAAACACGGTACTTTCAGCAGTTTATGCTCTTTTGTAGTTTACACCTTAACAGCTGATTATTGTATTGTATTTATTGTATTGTTATATTCCTTATCAAAAATACACAATTTATATTTTATACCTTGCAGCATGGTACCTCTTAATTTGAGTTTATCAAATAGCTATTTATTTTTTATGAAAGTGTTTTAATTTTTTTATTTATTTGACATATTAAGCAAATATATGTATCATTATAGCTTGCTGAGATGAAAATACAGTGGGGCAAAAAAGTATTTAGTCAGCCACCAATTGTACAAGTTCTCCCACTTAAAAAGATGAGAGAGGCCTGTAATTGACATCATAGGTAGACCTCAACTATGAGAGACAAAATGAGAAAACAAATCCAGACAATCATATTGTCTGATTTGGAAAGAATTTATTTGCAAATTATGGTGGAAAATAAGTATTTGGTCACCTACAAACAAGCAAGATTTCTGACTCTCACAGACTTGTAACTTCTTCTTTAAGAGGCTCCTCTGTCCTCCACTCATTACCTGTATTAATGGCACCTGTTTGAACTTGTTATCAGTATAAAAGACACCTATCCACAACCTCAAACAATATATATATATACACATCCGCGAAAACTTAAGAAGATATATATATATGCCTAATTTTCTACTGAAGCTCAAAATTACATATTGAAACAAACTATAACTTACGTGTATGAAGGGGGATGCTGAGTTCGAGAACTTGGGCTAACACTGTCAAAGATTAAACATAGTTTAAATTATTTAAATTTACTAATTTACTATTATATAAAATTGTGAATTATGAAATATAACTATTAAGGCCCAAATATATTACACTGATTAAGCAACGAGTAATTGCCTTCAATCAGACACTTCCAGCAATGCCCAAACAAATATTCTTGGAGAGCAAGGCATGAAGATAGCAGACACTAGCAATAAGTTGATGCAATTCCGCAATGCATACAGTATACAAAAGGGCATTTTGATGGCACAATGCTGTGTTAGTCATTATTATTAGAAATAAGATATTAGAAGCCATCCCCTTATACCTGCTGCAACTCTGTTGCATCCATGTATCTAGCTTATCCTGGTGCCCACCAATTTTTGTCAATCATTTGTCCAGGCTGGTATAAGGTTCTGAGCAGGTGATTGGACTCGAAGACTTCTAAGGTCCCTTCTATGATTTTATGGTTCTATCTATTGCTTTCCAATTTCTGCTGGCAAAACCAGCATTCTACATTCTGATTGCTGCACTGTATTTATTGGCTGTCATGCACTATAAGGAAGAGGAGGTATCCGCCCTTCCCTCCAGACACAAGTTGCTGCTCTTTACATTCATTTTATCCTTGGTTATCAAGTTGTCTGTTTCCCTAGTGGAGTAGAGGAACATTGGAACTTTTGTTTAATTGGTTCACTGGTAGGTTTTCTTTCTTACAAGTTCATCAGCAAAATACAGGTAATCATCGATTTATGATCACAATTGAGCCCAAAATTTCTGTTGCTTAACATTTGTTAAGTGAATTTTGACCCATTTTATGTTTCTTGCCACAGTTATTAAGTGACATGGTTGTTAAGTGAATCTGGCTCCCCCATTTACTTTGCTTGTCAGAAGGTCACAAAAGATGATCACATGACCTTGCAGCCATCATAAATATGAGTCAGTTGCCAAGTGTCTGAATTTTAATCATGTGACCATGAGGATGCTGCAACAGTCGTTAAGTGTGAAAAATGGTCATAACTCACTTTTTCCAGTTTTGTTGTAACTTCGAATGATCATTAAATGAACTGTTGTAAGTTGAGGACTACATGGTATAAAAATATTGACTTTTCTCATTTTTTCTTAACCAGCTGAAATAGAAATCCTCTCCTAGTTTCCCTAACTAACTCTGTAGTAGGAAGAACAGTAAAATAGTTGTTTTCCTTTATTCTCATTGGTCTGTTGATATATAATCTTCCCACACTTAGTCCAGACTAATTTACAAGACAAATTTGATTTTTTTTTTTTTTTTGGCATCAAATCAGAACTGGGAGCAACAACTAATTCCCTTTTCGGAAAGGGAAAAAAAATGCTGCAAGGGAGTAGCTGGTTGGCAAATCTGGAGATGAAAGACTACAATTGTGATGTCATCTAGCATTTTACACTTTCTTCATTAAGCATCAACCATTCCAGTAACTAATAATCTGTAGAAATCAAGATAATCATTGGCAGGGCACTACGTTACATTACATTATATGCCAAGTTAGCCAACTATACATGCCAACAGAACAGGCACTGAAGCCATTAAAATAAATAAAAGACTAATTATTATTATTATTTATTGAATTTCTATACCGCCCTTCTCCCGAAGGACTCAGGGCGGTGAACAGAATAAGATTTCATATACATATAATTTTTTTTTTTTAATGAGCTGAGATGACTTAATTACTGACTTCCTAAAGTCCTTAATATATTAGGGAATTTTTTTAAAAAAGAATGTCAACTCTCTAAAGTTAAAAGATACACCTGACTGTTAAAACTTTAACTATCTCATTATACAAAGCATTTCATTACATAAAGCAAACACATACAATATTTCTAAATAATTTCAAATTATATAAAAAAATGGAACTCACAAATGTATTGGCCTGTATGGTACTGTAAACATTCTCTTTTGAAATCTGTCCCAGAGACCTCCAACAACCTAGCATGATAATTAAAATGTGTGGGTAGTGGGGGGTTGAACATGATTTGGTATATTACAATTATCATTACTATTTATACTGCATCATCGTATTTTTTAATCACAGCAAAATACTTTATAAACAGTAGTTCATTTCCTAGAGCCTCAAGTTACCAGGCCATCTGTAAAAAAATCAATTGCATATATTGCACACAATTTGTACACACTTTTCCAAACAGAAAGAATCAAAACATCATAATAGGTAAAATCAATAAAGCAGAAAAGCAGAATGAGAATGTTAGCCCTATGATCCTGATGAGTCACTGAGGAGCCTGCATGTAACTTAGCAACAGCACTTAGACGTATATACCACCCTATTGTGCTTCAACATTTTACAATGTTAGCATATTGCCCCTAAGAATCTGGCTCCTCATTTTACCGATCTTGGAAGGATGGAAGGCTGAGTCAACCTCAAGCATTATCAGGACTGAATTTCAGACTGAATGCGGTCTGAATGCGGTATTGCAAGCGGAGTTTGCTTGCAATACCGCATTTAACCACTGTGTCACCAAAGCTCTTAATTCTAATATAAATTCTCTTTCATAGAGTAATCTTGGAACCAAAGGCACAGAAGGAGAAATCTTTTTCTCCAAGTTGAACAATCTCTACTTGAGAGTCTACTGCTTATGCTTGGGAGTGTTTAGAATTCACTATAAATTTCCTATTAATTAGCATCTGCACTTCAGGCTATTAGTTGAGGACAGAGAACTACAGCTAATCAATAGCTGGTGGTTCTCCTTTAACAGCTAGTAAGCAATATCACCTCCACTCAGTTTCATTCTGAAGAAAATCCCTTCCCTCCAGTGGTGGGTTTCTACCAGTTAGCCCTAGTTCGGGCGAACCGGTAGTGGCAGTGGCGGGAGGCTTGGCCACCTGCCCGGATGTCATCATGGATGCTCTGCGCATATGCAGAAGGTTCTGCGCATAAGCAGAAACCCCTTGTGCGTGCTTCCAATTCCGAATGGGTAGCAAAGGTAAGTGAAATCCCTCTGCTTCCCTCTCATAAATAAAAAGAAAATGACTATTGTTTGCATGGAGTACGATGTAGATTTTGGAATTAAGCTAGCAAGACAGTATTTTTATATTAACATTATGTCTGCCTTGGTTTCTTTCTTGCAGAGTAGCTGAGGGGATGTAGGAGATGACCCTGATAGGAACGGAAGCCGGTGTGTTCAACCCATGACCTGTGGGCTACATGACATCCTGGACATCTAGTAATGTAACCCCACAATATTGTACAATTTTAACATTATTAATAATTAATTTATATATATTATCTATATTACATACTTTATATGCAGCATAAAACAATTTCACTTCATTCAATGAAGTTCAGAGAAGCCAAAATTTTGGATATTCATAGGCTAAAGAAAAACCTAACTTATCTATTTTGATTGAGGACTTCAGTTTAAGGAAGTGACCTCCTTTTCTAGCCTTGTCATCATACTCCAGGAATCTAAAAGGGTCAGGGCTGGGCCAAGTTAGACATTGTTTCTCATCGTAGCTATAGATACAAGGAGCTCAATCTGAAGGTATTTTGGTTAGTAAAGGATGTGATCTACCACTGCACTTTATCCTGTGTTTGCTTATCCCACATAATCATAATGAAATAGACTTCACAGACTTGGCTTATTTCTTCTGCTGGTTCATATCGCTTGCTTGAAGAAATATTCCCCATGGGTTGTAATCTTGAATGTTCAGGCCCGACTTTGGGAGATAACATATTATCCCAGGGAACTTCTTCATATCCTCTAGAATGCTCATTAAAATAAATGAAATTTTTTTTTTTATTATAGCTAAATTATAAAGCAAACAAAGTCATTCAAATAAATAACCAGAAAGAGAATTTTGTCCAGATAAAATAGGTTGATTTAGGGGTAGGGAGTATGACTGGCTGGAGAGAGAGATATAAAGCTGATATTTAAAAATGATAGAAAACCAAGAGTGAGTTGGAGTAAGAAAACTGATTTTGGGCCAGTCACTCTCTTCACAGGGTTCACTGGGAAAACCAAAGAAGGAGTATTATCTATGTTTGCTATCTTGAGTTCCTTTTAAAGGAGGGCTAAATTCTAAACAACAACAACAACAACAACTGGTGAAATCATAAAATAGAGAAAGTAATTGAAAATGAAGAAGCTAAAATACTCTTGGGACTTGAAATCCAAACCAATGTGTACCTGCCACATAACACTCTAAACTTTATTACAAAAAAGTCTGGATAGTGGATGTGGCAGTGCTTGAAGACAGCAGAAAAAAGAAGAGAAAGATATGGAGAGGATACCAAATTACAAAGACCTGCAAATAGAAATAGAATGACTGTGGAAAAAGAACACAAGGGTAGTACCAATAGTAATCCCCAACAAAGATGGTTAGGGGGTTAGAGACTAAGGCATATGAAGAACGGTTTCAGGAATTGAGTATGTCTGATCTAGTGAAAAGAAAGACTAGGGATGAAATGATAGCAGTGGTTCCAGTATTTTGAGGGGCTGTCACAAAGATGGAGGAGGCAAACTATTTACTGAAGCACCATAAAGCAAGAAAAAAACCAATGGATGGAAACTAATCAAGGAGATAAGCAACCTAGAACTACAGAAAAAAATCCTAACAGTGAGAACAACCAACCAGTGGAATGCCTTGCCTTCAGAAGTTGTGGGTGCTCCATCACTGGAGGTTTTCAAGAACTTGAAAACCATTGTCTGAAATGGTATAGATTCTCCTGCTTGTGCCAGGAACTGGACTAGATGACCTCCAAGGTCCCTTCCAACTCTGTTATTCTATGTTCTAATAGGCACCTTGGGTGTAATCCAAAAACAACAGAGCACCATTTGAACACTATTGGCATTGACAATATCACCATCAGTTAATTGCAAAAGGCAGCTTTATACTCAGAATAGCTTACATTCTGTAACAATACTTTTAATATCATGAAACATTCATCTCTGCCTATCCCAGGTCCTTGGGAAGGGCTCTATAGATGGATAAAAAAAGCAAAATCCAGTCTGAATATTGAGCTGACTGTGCAATAACCCGTAATAATTACTCTAAGATCAATTCCTATCCCATGACCTTTGTTTTATCACTTAACCAGTATCTGTATTGTTATAACTAATAAACACAGTACTTAAAGGAAATGTAATTGTATTATTAGCCTCATCAGGAAATATGATACATAGCATTTTGCCAGTAACAGGAGGAATACAGAAACTCAGTATCATCTCATTCTTCTTAAGAGAAACAGAAACTCACCTCTGGATTGCGGATGTATACATATACTTCAAAGCTCTCTTATCTCTGCAGGGTTCAGAAGAAGTATCACTTGACTTAATAAGAAAATACAAAATAAAACATATAGAAAATAATGAAATGATCAGAACTCAGTTGAATATTTCCAGACTATTTTTCAAGCATGTATGCATATGATTATTTCCAATCCTGCTTTTGTGCTTTTAAAAAGGATAGAGAAAAGTAAGAGAGTTAATCTGCAGTGTTCAACTTGTCATGGTATTTTAATTACCTCTTCATTAGCCAAGTCAACGTATTCATTCATCTTCTAAATAAAAAGGTAGTCCTTGAACTACCTTTCAAGGCCTGAATGACAGGTTACTTAACAGCTATTTGAAATCACAACTGACTGCAACCCCCCCCAAAAAAACACCCTATATATGATCCTGTTCCAAAGTGGTTGCAGCACCTCTGCAGTCATTTATCCTTATGACCAATCATAGCGATGCTGCAGCACATTTCTCCCCACATCCTGTCCTTGTGGGAGTCCATAGCACATGGCCCTGCTCACCATTACTCCTGAAAGCAGCCATCATTTATGCATTTTGATAATTCCTTGCAAAAATGGCAGTTGCTTCAGAGCTTTCTGCCCTGATCAGCTGGCTTTCAAGAGCTGCAAACTATTCTTGGCTCTTGCTAGGTTAAGCCAACTGCAGCAACTTCAGGTGGAGTTTCTCAAAACCTTTCCCTTGCTTCATACCCCCTCCCTCCCCCAGAAACCCCAATTTCTTCAATAAAGAAAACAGGAGGGAAAACTGAGAAGAAGACAAACTTGTTGATCTTTCCTGTCATTAGATGCTGAAACTAAATTCTCTTCCTCTGCTCTTCAATCTTGATCCCTTTTAAAGACCTAATTTACTAACTTTACTGCATGCATGAAAAAAGAATGACAAAATCTGTAACTTACTTACCTTGATAAGTGACTGCCAGGCTGAAGAGTAGAGGAAAGGAAGCAAGCAAGGAAAAATAATTTCTCCTTGTTTGCATTAAGGAACTGAGGAAAATGTTCAGCTCAAAAAATTCAGGCAGCTAGAGCACAACATGTGCAGCAAATGACCAGGACAAAAGCTGGATCCTTGGAAAACTTTTTGCTTTTTGTCAAACTGACTTTAGGACTCAGCTAGTATTGGAGATTGGAGACTAGAATTGTTTTTGTTTCAGGGCAGTTTAGATGTAATCTGATTTTGGAGGACATTGCTATTAGATTGTTGCTATAGTCAGATTATTTTCTGACCACTTTTTAGTTCACTGGTGTTACCCCACCTGACACTACCTCACAGTGAGATCATCAATTACCAGGTGATCAGACTGGTACCTTGCCTGATCAATGATAGATATGGCTGGATTCCAGAAGGAACTTGAAGTTTTCCACAAAGTCTGTGGAGTGATTTAGTTGAGGCCTTAGTTGCTGCCTGGAATTGACAAATGACAGAGGCACTAGACCAGATTATTCCTTTGCAGCCTCTTTTCTAATGCATCCTGGGATGCAACTTGGTTCTCCAAGAAGTTCCAAGGAGTTCTGGGAGAATGAAAAGATGGAGATGCCAATTTTGGAATACAGCAGCGTGGGCATTTTTAGGGGCCTCTAGGATGGCACTGTTGCACAAACTGCATTAGTTGCCAATTTATGGCAACTATCTCCAATGGGATTGCTCCATGCCACTTGTCTTGTAAGCCTCCCAGTGCCACTTGATAGTGAGATGGGCAGCATATAAATTTACATAAATAAATAGATAAATAAATACATTCCATAATGAATTTTCAACATTAATAATTCTAAAAAAACACTGGCCTAAAAAAGTATTGAAAACTTGTGTGCAATGATTTCCAGTTTAGGAATAACAAGTGTTGTAATTCAAGCAATAGCTCTATTAAAACACTACTTTACAGATCTGAAAGTTGCTCCAGTAGAGTAAGGGGCCAGATTCTTGTGGCTATCTTTTTTAAAATTCTGGGCTATAAATTCAATATTAGCTATGTATGTATGTGTGGGGGGAATGGCATGAGCTTGTAATTGCTTATACTCAAGTAAAGATCATTTGTTAGAATCCTGAGTGCATATCAAAAGAATAAAAGGCAAAGAACATGAATTAATGAATGGATGAAAATAAAAGAAGTTCAATTTACTGTGTATTTGTGAAACTTAAGAGAATGAATGCAATGAATGAATGAGAGTGTCTTGATCTTGTCAAAGTTGTGGAGCTGATTAAATCATGCAGGCAAAGTGATGGGTAGTCTTAATTATTAATGAAAAGCCCAAAATGCTTGACAGAAAGAATTAATTCATGTAAACTGTTGTTTATAGTTTAACCACTTTAAATGAAAATGGGAATCCATAAGATGGTGACAAGTGCACGTTATACTTCAGTAAATGGTGATGATGTGCAACATTTTAAATGAATGCAATATGGAGATAGTTTTGTAGGTGTGAATAAGATGAGAAAGTACAAAAAAAAGTGAATGGACTACTTGGAGTTCTAAGAATTAATCAAAATAATAACTGCTGAATTTCTGTTCAGAAAAAGGTGTTTGTTTCAACTTTATGTGCTGAAAATTTAAATCAATTTGCATGCATTGATACCATAGCAATTAATATAAATCTAAAAGTGTAAATGATTGATTTGTTTTTAATGAAAGAATGAGAAAATTGCTTTAAGACTAAAAGAATAATGAGCAGTTCTGCACAGATTATTTTTGGTGATATCAAGTGGATCTTTGGGAAAAAATGAAGATCTGCTTATTGGGGAAAACATATTTTGACGTCAATAACAAGTGCCATATAAGGAGATCCAGTAGCATGAATAGATTGAAAAACACACACAAAGAAATTATTTGGGATGAAACTGAAATGAAGGAATAGTAGAAAGAATAGTTTAGAGATTTGTATGGGGATCATATTAATATAGATAGTCCTCATTTAGTAATCACAATTGGGACCAGCAATGTGGTGATTAAGCAAAGCAATTGCTAAGTGAATCAAAATTTTATGCTTTCCTTTCCTTTCTAGAGCTGCAAAGGTCATATAAAGGCCAATGTGATATTTCTGTTTTTTTCTTTTTAATATATTTACAGACATTTCTAAAATTCTGCTTTCACTTTGTCATTATGTAGAGAAAAAAATGAATTTCAACAACTGTAGAATCAGGCTGCAGCATAACAAAATTGACAAAAGTGAAGGGGGTCTAAATACTTTCTGAATGCGCTGTATGTACAGCATTTGCTTGTGTCCCTTAACAAAGCCTTGATGTATTGAAATCAATAAAGCTAGGAGGTTAACACAGAATATATGCTGTGTACCATTTAATGTAAATCACTTGCCTGTCTAAGATCTCAGAGAAGCAGATATTTCTGAATGTATTCTCTTCATAAAATCCCAATCACTAAACAAGGCTGCATTTCCAGCAAGCTCAGGATGCCTGTTTATTAATGTTCCAGAGCAAGTGGGGAGAACTGATTTTGTGTGCCTCAATGGATAGCACAAGAAAGACTTCATTTTATTTATTTATTTAATTTGTATACCGCCCTTCTCCAACAGGACTCAGGGCGGTGAACAGCCACGATAAAAACACAACATATAAAATTTAAAAACAATTAAAAAACATTAAATAATTTTGGCCATCAATTTAAAATAACCCAATTTAAAATAAAACCAATTATAAATTTAAAATCGCAAGGATGGGGTCAAGCCAGCCTGGCTAAGATGAAATAGATGTGTTTTCAGGGCCCGACGAAAAGTCCGGAGGTCTGGTATCGTGTGTATCTCTGGGGGTAGGTTGTTCCAGAGGGCAGGTGCCGCCACAGAGAAGGCTCTCCCCCTGGGGGTCGCCAGCCGATATTGTCTGGCCAATGGCATCCTGAGAAGGCCCTCTCTGTGTGAGCGAACTGGCCGGTGGGAGGCTATTGGCGGCAGAAGGCAATCTCGTAAATACCCCGGCCTTAAGCCATGGAGTGCTTTAAAGGTGGTCACCAACACCTTGAAGCACACACGGAAGACCACAGGAAGCCAGTGCAGCTCGCGCAGGAGAGGTGTCACATGGGAGTGCCCCGTCGCTCCCATAATCCCCTGCGCGGCCGCATTCTGGACCAACTGGAGCCTCCGGGTGCACCCCAAGGGGAGCCCCATGTAGAGAGCATTGCAGTAGTCCAGGCGGGACATGACGAGTGCCTGAGTGACCGTGTGTAGGGAGTCCCGATCTAGAAAGGGACGCAACTGGCGTATCAGGCGGACCTGATAAAAAGCTCCCCTGGCCACAGCCATCATATGCTCTTCTAAAGACAGCTGTGTATCCAGGAGGACACCCAAGTTGCGAGCCCTTTCCGTGGGGGCCAATGATTTGCCCCCAATAACCAGCGATGGCACCAGCTGGCTATATCAGGACGCTGGAAGCCACAGCCACTCGGTCTTGGAAGAGTTGAGTCGGAGCCTGTTTCTCCCCATCCAGGCCCGCACGGCCTCCAGGCACCAGGACATCACTTCAAGGGCATCGTTGGAGTGGCCTGGGGTAGAGATGTACAGCTGAGTGTCATCAGCGTACTGATGGAACTCCACCCCCAAAGCCATGGATGATCTCACCCAGTGGCTTTACATAAATATTGAACAGAAGGGGCAAGAGGACCGACCCTTGCGGCACCCCATAAACAAAGCACCTCGGGGTCGACCGCTGCCCCCCTGCCAACACAGATTGTGACCAGTCAGAGAGGTAGGAGGAGAACCACTGCAAAACAGTGCTCCCCACCCCCAATCCCTCCAACCGGTGCAACATGATACCATGATCGATGGTATCAAAAGCCGCTGAGAGATCTAACAGGACCAGGATAGAGGAGCATCCCCTATCCCGAGCCCTCCAGAGATCATCCACCAACGCGACCAATGCCGTTTCCGTGCTGTACCCAGGCCTGAAGCCGGACTGGAGTGGATCTAGATAGACAGCTTCATCCAGGTACTGTGGAAGCTGCCGTGCCACCACACTCTCAACAACCTTCACAATAAAAGGAAGGTTGGAGACTGGACGATAGTTAGCCGAAACAACCGGATCCAGAGAGGGCTTCTTGAGGAGGGGCCTCACCACCGCTTCTTTCAAGGCGGCCGGTAGGACACCCTCGCTCAAGGAAGCGTTAATAATCCTCTGGAGCCAGCCTCGTGTAACCTCCTGGGAGGCCAGCACCAACCAGGAGGGACACGGGTCCAATAAACATGTGGTTGCATTCAGCCGTCCCAGAATCCATGGCAATTAAGTGAGATATAATGAGAGTCAAAACTATAATGTTAAAGTTCTCAATTGCTAGGGTGTCAGGATTTCATTATAGGTAACAATGTGATAAATTCTACATTTTTAAAAAAACTGCCTTATTTTCATACCTAAATGTTTGTGCTTGTTGCCTACAATTTGAAAGGAACTCTTCCTAGGAAGCTCTATTTGAATCTTTCAAGTCTAAAGTTATTTTATTAGAATGCTTTCGAGATCGGGCAAGTGCTTCCTTACGCTCAGCAGAAGAGGTGCAAATTAAAAACAATGTCAGAGTTCATCAACCATCTCAATAAATAACACGAAAGTCAACTGTTGACGTTTTGGATTCACATTGTGGACATTCAGAAGTGGGGTCTGTATGGATGCATAAAGAGTCAGCAAGAAGCAGGCTCATCACACAGCCATTTCAGGATATAAAAGTATTGCTAGTACCTTTACAGACAGGAGGCACACATTATTATATTGTTTCACAAACTTCCCCAAATTTTAAGAAACATCAGATAAGAGCCGTCTTTCGCTTTCTGATGGTTACTGCAACCTTCTTAGCTCTTTGCGTTTGCAATGAAATGATTGTGACATAAAATATATCCAATTCCTTCCTGTCCTATATAAACATTTCTGACAAACAAACCATTGATTTGCAGGAACCAGGAAACAATCAGTATTTGAATCTTATATATTCAAACTACAGGCCAAGAATATATAGTTTGAATATCTAATATTGCTAAAGTGTATTTATAGCATAATCACATTTCAGTAAAAGTCGTATTTTATACGTATATATAAAAAACAATTGTTCCTATTAAAATGAATCTTGACACGCCTGTTCATTTGTCAGATTTCTCTCACATTATGTCTCACAAAGCTTTGTCATTGCCCTCATTTATTTTTTTGGAATGTAAATGGGAAGACGTCATGAGCCTTTCCTCCCCAGATATCTATTATTTGCAGTGGTGGGATTCAGCCAGTGCACACCACTTCGGGAGAACCGGTTGTTAACTTTCTGAGCAGTTTGGTGAACTGGTTGTTGGAAGTAATCATTAGGGCAGAGAACCGGTTGTTAAATTATTTGAATCCCACCACTGATTATATGTACTACATATTCATTTTTAAAATGTGTACAGATAAGTCTGTCTTTTTTCTCAATGTCCATCTTATATAGTTCAACTTCCTCAAGTATTCAAAACCTACAAGTCCTTATGTTAAAGGGAACGACATTCCAAGTTATACCTGAATATCTTGTGGAAGAAGAAATGTTTGTCTAACATACATTTCTTTCAGTTTCACATCAACTGAGAATTAAGGAGAAATTTCCTGACAGTGAGAACAATTAATCAGTAGAAAGGCTTGCCTCCAGAAGTTGTGGGTGCTCCAGCACTGGAGGTTTTCAAGAAGAGATTGGGCATCCATTTGTCCAAAATAGTATAGACACTCCTGGTCAAGCAGGAGACTGGACTAAAAGACCTCCAAAGTCCCTTCCAACATTGTTATTCTATGTTCTATGCATACCTTATATTGTACAGTATAAGAGAGGACTGTGTCTCCACAGCATTACATGGCCTAAGGCTAAGTTTTTACCATATGCAGAAAAGAACTTCATATACTCCTATGATGAGAATTTGGCTATAAAAATAGGCATAGATATAAATAAACTAGAATGTATCTATTCTGAGACCACATCCCTTCTCAGAACTCTTTATCTTGGATAGAGACCCGTTTTGATTAGCGTAATTAATATGTAGAAGGCCACATCATCCTCGGGATCATCTATATGAAAAATGGTGTCCTATGATGGGCAGCCACAAAGTGTGCTCTTTCTAGAAGGAGATGTACAATGTGGTCATCAGATTAAGCATATGAAATTCAAGCACGGGATGAGTGATATTTTAACAAGAATGATATATAGGGCCATTCTGTCTGAAGATGGGATGGAACTAGTGACTGAATAATTTTTAGTGATATCACTTGATTCTTCTTCTTCTGATTAGAAGATATGTTATTGATTTGAAGCAGCAGTAGTAAAGAAATTTACCTGAACATCTGTGTCCACGTGAAATACAAATGTATGAGGTATAAAATTTTCTTTGGCTTTAGGTGGATTTGGTATGACTTTTACTGGACTTGTCCATCCTGGAAAAAAAAGTTGAACATTTTTCACTAAATAATGTTCATTGCACTGAGATTACAGCTGAATACAAAAATGAACTTTATATTAGTGACAATCACAATATGCCATGTATAACATTTATGAATTATTTTTTTAATGACAGAAAAGTCAGAAGGTAAGTAATTTCAGTTGGCTGTTTCAGTAGGGGACTCATATATTGTACCAAGTTACTGACAACAGATTTAAAGAAGAGAAAGAAAAGGGAATAGCTGGAGAGTTGCTTATTCTGAAAAACTATTGCTCAGTTATACAGAGTAAAAAGAGCTGCTGAATGCAAGGGATATAGTTTGAGAACTGTGGGAGACAGATTGACAGCTTTTTACTGAATAAGACTATGAAAAATGTAAGAAAACTCAGAGCAATAGATAGAAAAATCAGGAGTTTTGAGAAGGAAGTTAAGAGACATCTCTAACAAATCCTAAGAACACATGGCTAAATTAAGAAAGAATGTGAATAAATGTAAGCTTTCTGTTGATGTTACATGAACACAACAGTCAGCAGCCATCTTCTGCAGAGATGCCAGTAGCCATGTCCATGAGTGGATGGGGGTCATTCTCTCCCTCTCTGTCAATCAATCAATCAATCAATCAATCAATCAATCAGAATACAGCAAAGAGTAAAATTGGCTCTGCAGACTCTTGGGGAGCTTCTTGTGATTGAAGAAAGAAATGATTTATATAAGGAAGAGAAAAAAACCTCAGTATGTGAAGTTATATTATAAACACATTTATATATTGGCTCATAGCATCACTGAAATTGTTACAATTTATTATAATAGGGTAATCCTACACTGGGCTGAGATAGAATTACAAATTTAAATTCTTCCTTGGGATCACTGTAGGAAAGGTAGAGAAAAATAGGGCATTTCTTTTTGGGACTATAGGCCAGGTGTTTTAGGATGGAGAGCCACATCTAGTCTATAGGTTGTAGGTTCCTGACCTTTGCATTAAGGAAGAAGTGAGGCTGAATGGATGTGATTTGCAATCATGCAACCTAAAGTCTTGTGGCATGTTTGATTCATACTTGAAAGAAACAAGGTATTCATTTGCAGAAAATGGATGCTTATAGTGATACCTGAAAGAAAAAAAAAATCAAAGAATTGAAGCAATGAATAGCCATGTTTTTGCTATGATCAAATAAATAGAAGTTGATAGAAGAAGTAACTTTTTATAAAGGATAAAATCCCTGAAACTGAAACTAATCTTGGTGAACAAGAATGAAAACCTGAAATAAGACATACTGAATATATCCTCCACTGATACAATTTGAAAAGATCTTTAGGCAGTCATAGAAAAAACAGACTCTAAATATTTGAGAGGAGAGGGAGAGAGAAAAAGGAGGAGGAAGAAACACTCTTGAATATGAGTATGGTTATTTGAAAAGCAGAGAGAATAATGTTTTGACTGTAAAAAGACAACATCACCAACAACAAAAATCAAGATATTTGCTGTTTCACTCCCATGGAAACTAAACAAACATATGCTAACTAGACTTGTTAGCTTGTGTAATGATACTGAAGAAACCAAAGCTGGCTATAACTGAATGATTACCTAAAGATTAAAGAAACTTAATAACACAATGATAGGATAATATATACAGCAGAATGAGGCTATGATGAATGAAAGTTCTTGGAAACAGAAAGAATAAAATTACAATTGCAAACAATTCCACGAAGAACAAATAGAACACAACAGAGAAAACAATTTAGTGAAATAACAACATATCATTCAACCCCCAAAAGAATATATATAAGAAAATGAAAGTGAAAAAGGGCACATCACCAAGGAAGGGTACAACAAAAGAGCTTAGAACTGTACAGACTTTATGAGCAAGAGAGTATTGGTACAATATTAGCAGAGATGAAAGGGCAGGACTGAAGTCTGAAACTGACAGAAACATAAATGAGGAATATGTATATACAATTCTTCGAATTAGTTTATATACACAGGATAAATGAATTGCATCATAGGCTTCTGAAGGAACTTGCTGATACATATTACATTTGAAAAATCTTGGATGGTACATGTCAGACATTTCTACCAATCTACACAGAATACTTAATTGAAAAACCAAGTCTTTTTGAACTCTAATGAGTAATACTTATTAGAAGGAAAGTTAAGATAAAACTATAAGTATTCCAATGAGTAATGAGGCATCAATAAACAGATGATTATGATGGAAACACCCTCTTTCATTTTTCTGCTTTCTTTTAGTGGAGATGGATAATTGAAAGTGGGGCATGGTGTATCAGATAACTATTTTGATAATAGCTACTTGGCTTAGTATAAGAATCAGATCTCATGGCAAATTATTACAGGAGAACAAATATTCTCCTTATTTTCAAAAAGCACAGCAAAGACATTCCTGAAACTGTTAACTAGCTAATCTGGCATCAATAACTGGTAAAATCCAGAGGCAGATCATAATGCAATAAATCCTTATGTACCTGAAAAAATGATTATCAGTCAAACACAAACACAAGCTTGTAAAAAAAGGTTTTACCAAAATAATTTTGTTTTGTTTTTTCATTGAGTAATTTCTTGGACACTTTGTGAAAATACATACAACTTTTATTTTAGGAAACCATTTAACAAGAGTATAGAGTGTATAGTATCCTCTATACTTTATATTTATTAGTAAGACAATTAAGTATGGGCTGGATGGCACAACAGATAAGCAGATAGACAGCTGGCTCAAAAATCATCAATTTATTAATTTCTCCTCACCAAACTGGAGGGAGATATTGAATAGTGTGCCAAAAGTTTAAAATCCGGGTCTGTACTCTTTATATTTTTACTAGTGGCATAGCTAGAAAATGAAGGAATGCTTATCAAATCTGCAGATGATACAAATGTGAAGATATGAATAACAAATACCTAGCACAGGGGTTGGGAATTTTTCTCTGTAAAGGGCCAGATTCTGACCCTGCTTTGCCTTCATGGGCATGGCTAGCAGGTGTGCAAGTCAAGTGTGACAGACATTGGACAGAGCCAGCCTGCTAGCAAGGAGGTCATGTAAAGTCCAAAACAGCCAAGTTGCTTTGGATCCATTTCTCAACTCAGCCCTGACTTTGGGAGAGTTGCAGAGGCTTGGGCCTGGTGATCTGATGTGGGGCCATCCAGTCTTAGCTCAAGGGGCATATAAAAACAGATGGCAGCAAAGAATTAGCCTATGGGCTATATAGTTTGCTAACCCCTGCACCAGGAGGCAGAAATCAAATATAAGATTGCTTTTTATAGATTAGATAAATTATCTGAATAAAGTTTGGCAGCAATAAATACAAAGACCTTTATGAAATGAAATGCACATGCATCCTTAAATACATGAGTATAATCAGTAAGTTAGATAAATGTGGATATAATGCAATTCTGTCAAGAAGGATTTATTATTCATGGAGTCATTAACCATGAGTGGCAAAAAAGCAGTGGAAATGACTTCTGACTTCTTGCTGGTTTCCTCATTAAGTTTGCTTGTGGGAAGCTGGCAGGGAGTATCAGAAACTTTCCTTCCTCCCTTATCATTCTGTCATTGATTCTTTCCTTCCCTCCCTAGAATTTCTGCTAGCTCCCCCATTTACCTTGCAGGAAGCTTACAGGAAGAAAGTCAATGGCAAAGTCAGCAGGAATTTGCAAGTTGAAGGCCAGTAAAAAGGTAAGTGGCTGTTGTGAAGAAGGAATCAAGGCGGTACACAGGGGTACAGATAAGGAACAGTACATGACACTCTGTGAGAGGTGCTACATGAGTTAGAAGGGTGCATGGGTGTGTGCCAGAAATGCTAAGCAGGTCAATGAGGGGTAGTGTGGGGAAGGGCAGCATAGGTTGGGAAGGGTGCCTGGGGGTATGCAAGAGATGCTGTGCAGATAGGGTAGGGCATGCAGGGAGTGACACATGTCAGGAAGAATGCACAGGAGGTAAATTACCAAGCCATTCAGGAATGGCACATGGGGGTTGGAGGCTGGCATAAGTTAGGAAGGGTGTTTCCCTTCCCTTCCCACCCCACCCCATCCCATCAGGCATATAGATATGTCATTGCTGCTGGCTGGGGGAAAAGTGATGGATTGCAAGACTGGCTGAAAAACTGTCACAGAATGTTGAAAATAAAGATCATGAGACTGCAGCAGGAGCCTAGCCGTGCAGCAGCAGCCAGTAGCACTGAAATAGCCACAACTTCCCCAAATTTCATTCCCTTAGGAATCATAGGTCTTAGATTTTGGATGCATTCTCTAAGTTAGACCATTTGAGGTGCCTTGGTTCAAAAATAGTCTGGTTTAAAAACTGTTGCACAATTATGTATTTTGCCCAGTTCATTATCATGACAAGAATTTTAGTAATATATAAATAGATACGATGAAACTCTACAATATCGAAAAAACTTGAAGCAACCCCCCCCCGAAATCTTAAGATTTCGTAAATGAAAGTTTATGAACATTTCTTACAAGATAGGTTGTGGATTCCCTTTGCTAGATCAATTCAAGCAAAGTCTGATCAGACATTTTGAAATGCATACTTTAATTTGGATTCCCATATAGAACAATTGATTGAACTCTCTACATGTTCTTTCAGTTCTTGATTGCAATCTCAGCTTGTTGGTTTTCATCAAACCAAACAATTTTGTGGGAGAATTGGCTAGAAACTGGGAGACTGTGAGTTGTTGTCCTGTCTGGGCACAAAGGCAGCTGGTGACCTTGGCCTGGTTACTTTCTCTCAGCCCTAGGAAAGAGGCAAAGACAAACTCACTTTTGAAGTACTGTGTCAAGAAAACTGCTGGTACTTGTCCAAACAATTCTGAGAATTGACATAACTGAACAGAAAAAATTATGCATGCACGCACACACACACACAGAGATAATGACAGTTGTAGTGCAATAATATTTACCTCCAAGTCTTGATCTCACAGAAATGTCAGGTATTGCTCTGGAATTCCACTGTTGGTTCTGATTTATTTCTTTCAACAGTAAAGCTTTTCTATCACCAACTTGGCTTTTTCTGCAAAATACAGATGCCTGCTGTGAAGAATGTGTATCTTTGCCATCTTGCAGGGGTTCATAGGCTTTGTTGTCTAAGATTTGTCGGTCAACTTTACCACCTGGGCTCAAAAATCCTGAACTAGTGTTGATTATTGGCACATCATCCCGATGCGGTGCTAAAAGGTAGCCTTTATCTTCAGGAGGAAGGAAAGGATTGGATTTTAGAAAAGCATTACTATCCTTGTCTTGGAAACTGGCAAAAAAATGCCTGTCTTCAGGTCCCCGTACAAAAGGCATATACATTCTCTTCAACAGATCTTTGTGTTGGTTTAGATGCATCTTGTGAAGTGAATCAGCTGGATTTAAGTATGAATAAGGATGAAAATGTCTTGCAGTGACTTGAGAAGCCATGGTTAATTTTTAACTTGATTTAATAACTTTCATTAAAATCAGAAGCCATAGACTCAACTGTGAAGCTATTGCTTTAAAAAAAAAGTAGTGCTGTGGTGCTTCTTTCTGAAGTTGAAATAAATAAATAAAAAAGAAATGGCAACCCACCAAGGGAATGAAACTTTATATATACAAAGATTCTCAGTTGCTTAGTGACAGTGGAACATGAACACATAATGAAAGTATATGCAGTGCTCTTTTGCTCTGTAAGTGAAGAAACTTTTCACTTTCTGTTTCCAGTGCATAACCTCATAGTGTACAAATAAAGCAAGTGATAGGTCATAATCATAGTTACAATCATTAATTATAAGTTACAAACAACAATTGATAATCATAAGAGACCAATAGGAGGCGATATTAGGAAAGATGTGAAGATGAGAAAATATGAGAAATGAGACAGTACTGTGAATTAAGTGTTCAGCAGTGTGATGGCATGGGGGAAAAACTATCTTTATGTTTGGTTGTTTTGGCATGTAATGCCCTATAGTGGCATTCTAAGGGGAGAAGTTGAAATAGATTAGGTCCAGGATGTGAAGGGTCTGTAGATATTTTCTCAGCCCTCTTTCTGGTTCACAAAGAAAAAAATCATTTCCTGCATACTTCTGATCTTTGTTGGTAGAGATACACCCCAAAATCTGATTGATTTCCAAGGCCTTCAATCGAGTGCTAGACTATGTAATACATATATCTTCAACTTGAAACTGGCTGCATAGTGACCATTCCAAGTTAAAACAGATCCCCCTCCAAAGCTACTTATGACCCAGTTTTGAAGTTACACCTGCTGCAGTACCTCTGTGGTCTTTGCTTTTATAACTGAATGCAGAGACACTGCAATGGTCCCTCCATTTATTTTTCCTCATTCCACCCCAGTGGGCCCCAATAAATTGTAGCTGCTCCAAAATGGTCCTACTTCCAGAACAATGTCATATAGTACAAGGATGTCGAAGGGTGAAGCGGTTTGCCCTCCTTCCCCAATGTGAGTCCTGGAGCTTTTCCAAAGATAAGTGTGTGACTAGTGATGGGGGTAGGATGCTGTGGGGACTAGTCAGGTGAATAGCAGACCTAATGCCTATTAAGTAAGACCTGATGTGTGGGGGGAAAGTAGGCCAGGGCCTGTTTGTACTCTGAGGGGCAGGAAGCTGAGCATGGAATGAAAAGCCCTGAGAGACACCTTGAAGCACTCTATGCTCCGCTTTATGCTCTATTCCATTTAACATCATTGAGGAAAGTAGGGATGGGGGTCATTAATTGAGTTGATCATCTAATTACCTAATTTAATGACTGTCATGACTTGCAAATGTAATTGGTTCCTTGACATTTATTTCTATAATTTGCACATCATTTGGATAACCAGTTTGGTATAATGCTTAAGTAGAGGTGGTATTCAGCCAGTTTGGACCAGTTCAGACAAACTGATAGCAGAAATTTTGAGAAGTTCGGAGAACTGGAAAATACCACCTCTGGTTGGCCCCACCCCCACCCACCCACCCTCTCACCACGCCCTGCCCCCCCGCTCGCCCCGCCCCACTCAGTCACTCCTCATCCTGCCTCCCTGGCATAGCACACTGTGTGGATCCTCACTTGCGTTGACCACACAGTCTCTGCGGTTTGCCTGCCTTCCCACGTGGTGCCTGCAGCCCAACTGAACAGCCCTGATCTGCCTGCCTGGGTACATAAGCCTGCGAGTTGTGGCCTAGTTTGCTGCCACCCCCACTCCCCCCCGTCCCCAGCCCCAGCCTCCAGCTTGCCTGGCTTGCTTTGCCGTGGTGGCTCCATCCCACGCAGCACTGCAGCCTAGCTAGCTGCCTCCCAACATTCCACGTGGCGCCACCAACTTGCCTGCCTTCGTCGTGGCCTACCACGCTGGCAACGTGGCCCAGCTGATATCCGCACCTGTTCTGCTCACCTTGGCTGCCTGTGAAGGTAAGGCACTAGGCTGAAGGGCCGCCTTTGGACCTGGCTCTCGCCAATCTCCATCCTTCTGCCTGCATGCCACCTGCTCTCCCTTTGCCTCAGGTCTGGGGACATGCCAGTCCCAAGCTCTGGCCTTCCCAGGGCCTCTTCCTACATGCTGCCCGCTCTCCGTTCACCTCGGGTCAGGGGACGTGCCATTCCCCTGCTCTGGCCTTGCCTCGGAGCCTCCATCTGCTCACTGTTAGCCTCAACCAGGTCAGGGAATGCACCATTCCCATGCTCCAGCCTTGCCCCAAAGCCTCCACCCTCATTCTGCCCTCCCCTCTGGCCTCCAACTATGGCCCCCCTGGCCAGAGCAATTTATTTGGCCTGCAGCCTGCTGTGCTATGCCGAAGGGCTGTGGGGGGCAGCGGCATGAGCACAGGAGGACCGAAGCAGTTTGGGAATGGACCGGATGGTTCTTCTTACCTGTAAGAAATCCCATTGGGAAAGCACTGCAGCGGAGATCTTGTAGCTGCTTCTTCTGTCCCTTGCCAAGCCTTGGTCACTTGCGGAGATCCTCCATGTGCTCTCCGGGTCGGCCACTGCTTCTCTCTGCTGCTGCTCTTGCTGAGAAAGCATTGTGTGAAATTTAGCAGCTGTGAACCGCCGCTTTCCTCTAAGTCCTATCCAGAAAGTGCTGTGGCACAGAGAAGCAGCAGCCATGTTGAATGCTGTTTCTCTCAGCTGCAGCGCTTTTCGGATGAGACTTAGAGGAAAGAGGCAGCTCACAGTAGCTAAATTGCACAAGACGCTCTCCCAGCAGCGTGGAAAGAAGCAGCTGCTGCCCCGGAGAGCAAAGATGGAGGGGAGCAGACCCTGAAAGGCTGCTTGGTCAAGCCTCACCACGAGGTGGAAGCCGTGCGCGCATGCATGCGCAGAAGTTGTGTGTGTGTGCTCATATTTTTGGCAAACCGGTGCTGGAATTATATTCCACCACATATATTATGATACTGTGCTTTATATAAAACTACTTTTGAAGATGATTTGGAAGCTATAGTTGGTATAAAAGGTAGCCATTAAATTGCACTATGGAATGTCTGCATAGACTATTCTGCGCTATACTACATTAAAGGCTTACATTGTCCCAATTAGTTCCAAGCTTTAGTAGCAACTTTTAAAATACTAATGATGCTTAGACATCAGAGAATACTCAATAATAGGAGGGTCTAGAAAAGGAAATGGAGGCAATTCAGTACGTATTTATAGGGGCCTAGACCCAGTGATGGGTTGCCCCTGGTTCGGACCGGTTCGCAAGAACCGGTAGTGAAACCGGCAGGAGGGTCCACCCACTAACCCGGACAATGTGACGCCATGAGTTAGACACCCATGAATTAAAAAAAAACAATTATATTCATTTTGCTAGGAATAAACTCCACTGAACTAAATATAATTTATTTCTGTGGGATTGTGCAGAAAAAGCTTGCCAGAGTTCAGAGTTAGAAGGGAGCTTAAGGTTTTGTAATCTAACTCCTGCTCAAGCAGGAAACTGCATACCATTTTAAACAAGTGGCTATCCAGGCTCTTCTTAAAATCCTCCAGTGATGGAGCACCCACAACTTCTAAAGGCAAGTTGTTCCACTGATTGATTGTTGTCACTGTCAGGAAAATTATCTTTAGGTGAAATGCTCCCAGTTCGGACTGGATCGCCTGATCCGGTAGCAATGGCGGCGGCTGGTTCGGAGAACCGGTAGCAAAAATCCCTGCCCCCTACTTACCTTTACTACCGGTTTGCAACAGGGCTGTGCACGAGCGAAGCAAGTACGCTCTTCTGTGCATGCACAGAAGTGTTCTGATGACGTCAGGGTTGGTGGACGGAGCCTCCCGCCGGTTTTACTATTGGTTCTATAGAACTGGTGCGAACGGGGACAACCCACCACTGAATGTAATCAATCACAACCTGATTTGAATTTGTTTAGGATGGACAGGTGTTCTCTTAGTATTTTATTGCCTAATTTAATTAGTATTCCTAGTCTGTCTTTTACAGTTCTGTTTCTGGTTGGTTGGACTATTTTTTCTTTTTGTGTGAAGACAGATGCAAAGAAAGAATTAAGCAGCTGTTTTCTCTCTGCTGCCTGTCACTTCCTAACCATTGTCTCCCATTAGTGGACTGATTGTTTCCTTGACTTTTTTCTTGTTTTTTATATGGTGAAAGAAACTTTTAAAAATTATTTAGGACATTTTTGCGAGATTTAAGTTTCCATACTTCCACACTTCATCTGCAGATTTGGGCTATATGCTTGGATTCTGCCTCATTTATGTGTCCCTCTTTCCATTTTTTTATACTTATCCTTTTTGACTTTCACAGAGTTTTCTATGCTATCATGCTGATTTCTTCTTAGAGTTCTTATTTTTCTTTTTCAGCGGTATATGCTGCAATGCGCTTTTAATCATTTTTAGAGTAGGCTGTTTTCTCCTTTAATATTACCACCCACAGACTCCTTCACAAACTCACTCTAAGTTTGTTGAAATCAGTTATTTTAATGTCTAAGTTTGATTACGTTCCAGTTCTTGTGTCTGCATTATATTGAATTCCAACATGACATGGTCAGTCTTCCCCAATGGTCCTGCAACCTCAACCCCCTCTATCATTTCTTCTCTGTTAGCAATAATTAGGTCCTTCTAATTAGCTGTCCTTCTAGTTCCCCCCTCTACCTTTTGGATTACAAAGTTGTCAGCAATTTTGTCAGTAAGGAACCTGTTCCGTCCCTCACTTAATGGAGGGTTTGTCTTCCAGTTGATCTCAAAGTCCCTCATTACAACTGTGATGTTTCTTACAAACATTTAACTACTAGCAAAAAGTTCATCTATCCATCCCAGACAGCTTCAATTCATTTAAAGAAACAGTACATCTTCCTCGCTCCCGAAGATCTGCGCTTTTGTGGCCTTTCTTGCTAAAAGTGACACTGATTCGTAGCTAAATCACGATTAGCAGAGACAGAATTTATTAATCTACACAAATGAATGGAGTAAGACATACAGAACGTTCTAAGTGTGCAGCAAAAAGCAAAAAACTATTAAATAATGTATGCTCAAAGTAGCGGTAGTTCAAACACACGGAGAGGTTATGGCCAATATGCCAAGTAGCCTTTTTAGGTCGCCGACACGAGGATATAAGGAATGGTTTGCAGTTGCGTAAGAGTCACAGGCGAACGCTCCATATTACGCGAAGCCGCCCGCCAATTCATCGGAACAGTTCTGCGCCGTGCTTCATTGCACTTCCTCCGCCCCTCCCCTTTTCCATTGTGACGAGAGGCATTCGACGCCAGCGCTAACGAATTTGTTGGCGCCCGCGTGCGAAAAAGTGGAGGGGAGAGCGGGAAGTCACCCAGTCCCGCAGCATTTGTTGGCATGCGGGGATGCGGCGCCGAGGATTGCGGAGAAGACGTGACTTCTCCTCTGCATACTGGAGTTTCTGTGTTTCCTGGGTTGCTCTGGCATTGTCCCTATTGCAGGGACTTTCCATAGGTAAAAGAGCGCGTACTTCAATAATTAGGAGGAAGAAGGGAAGAGGACAGCTTCCCAGTCCGGCTCCCTTAAGACCATAATGCGCTTCCTGCCCTCCTCTTGGCATATTGGTAGCGTAATTCTTGAGGAAAGTCCCGTAAAATACTGCATGTTTGATAGGTTTGATCATCTTTAGACGGAGGAGTATAACTAGCAAGCAAATCCATAGTAATGATTCGCATAGGAAAGACAGCGTTTGTAGCTGGTCAGTTAGCATCCTGACTTCCAATCTATGCTTCCTGGGCTAGTAGCGTATGGTCTCCGTATGAATAAACCAGTTTTTGCCAAATTATCATTATATTATTTATTTCATTAAATAAATTTCAGTCCCAGAATTTATTTGGGTACTAGATGTAAGCATATAGACTTTTCATCACTTCCTAGTTTTCTGCTCAGGCTTTCTTCGTTTCAACAAACAATTTTGGGAATGTGTGTCAGTTGTTGCAGTTACTAAAATGGCTTAGTTCAGTCATAAATTACTCAGATCTATTAGATCTTTATGTAAATTTCTATCTGCTACCATAATGAACTTGCAAACTATTTTCTGATAGTTTTCTTTTGTAATTTTCTAAAAGGATATGATGGTAAAACTAAACTAAAGAATAAAGTTATTTGGAATAATTATTATTTTGTGTTAGACAAAAGTAACATTTAAGATTCAAGACCTTTCAAACAAAGGATCCTAAAATGCATTTCAGCAAATGAACTAATTGAGAGAAGAAAATAAATGGATTTCATTTTTATCTGAGAAAGAATATTGTATTAGAATGTATATATTTTTCAGATTTTATAATTGAAAACAGTTCTAGGAAAACTGTAAATGTTTAGAATTACTGTAATTTATTATATTTTTACTTATTTAAATATTTATGGTTGTATGACTCCACCTTGTGGCTATGCATTGTAGTTATTTTCTATTCAGAAAAGTGTACCGTAGTTTAAAACGTAGAAATAAAACACATGGGATTGAGAAGATTACTTTCTTTTCAGTCTATTGAGCATTGTCATGTTATCCATACTTGGCTTGCAAATTATATATAACTTTATCTGGCTTTAATTGCATTATTTTATAAGATTATAAATAGTCTGCCCCTATTTTTCTAAGTCTTCCGATTTTATTGTTAGCAGTGTTTTCTAGGATCCACTTACTTTCAGTTTCCAGAATGTTTGGCTCCAGAATAGTTTGGTTATCAAACTTTCAAACTTCTAACTGGCACAGCTTATCTAAAGGACTTTAAACTAAATGTAGAATGGGATGAAGACCAATCTTTAGGACATACTGTAATGCCAAGCATGCGTGCGCTGGCCCCTTGGTCTTTGGGTTTTTGGCACCCGCATGCACGCTGGCCAACTGGTCTTCACACATGCCAGAGCACTGGAAACATGAAGACCAGGTGGCCGGTGCACATGTGTGCCAGAAACCAAAAGAGCAATGGTGATGGTGCGTGTGCCCACAGATGTTTACAGCGGGCCGAAGTAACTTGTAAAGTTGCAAAGGACCTGCCCTCTGTAAACATTGATCTCTCCTGCAGCTCCAGCTCCGTCAGGCTCTTCTCTCTCCCTCCTCACTCTCTGCCAGGGCGAGGACCCCACCTCTAGGCTGCCTCCTGAGATGCCTGATCCCACTGGGGTTGCTCCAATCCCCTTCTCGAGCCCTCCATCCCTGGAGGAAAAGAAGCAAGGAAAGACTAACGTCAAGCATTCAGTTAGAAAGAAGTGGAGCCTTTCTCTGTGGTGGACAGGCCAAGGTCACGGGCCCGTCAGACAGTGCCATAGACAGCCCTCACTTGGCCAGGTCCTGAATTAACTGTCTTAATTTGGCTACTGATTTAATTTGTAAATACGTACAACTACAAGCCTCATCCATGTAGCACTCTGTCATAAAGGGATTTTTTGGCTTGGCCAAATCAACAAATTTGGCTATTTTGAGCAAATCAGTTTTGCAAACTATGACTCCTTTTGCCGCTAGCTTGCTGTAAATCATCCTAATTTCTCCTTAGTTCTAGGTTGCTTTTCTCCTTGATTAGTTTCCACCCATTGCTTCTTGTCCTGCCCTCAGGTGCTTTGGAGAATAGCTTGACTCCCTCTTCTTTGTGGCAGCCCCTGAGATATTGGAACTGATATTGGATATTGGAACGTAGTCCTTCTTTTCATCACACTAGTCATACCCAATTTCAGCAACCATTCTTTATATGTTTTAGCTTCCTAATCATCTTTCTTGCTCTTCTCTGCATGCTTTCTAGAGTCTCAATTTCTTTTTTACATTGTGGCGACCAAAACTGGATGCAGTATTCCAAGTGTGGCCTTACCAAAGCACTATAAATTGGTATTAACACTTCACGTGATGTTGATTCTATCCCTCTATTTACGCAGCCTAGAACTGTGTTGGATCTTTTGGCAGCTGCAGCACACTGCTGGCTCATATTGAAATGATTGCACACTAAGACTCCAAGATCCCTGTCACAGTTACTACTATTGAGTGAGGTACCGCATATTCTGTACCTGTGCATTTTGTTTTTCTTGCCTAAATGTAGAACCTTAACTTTTTTCATCATTGAATTTCATTTTGTTAGATAGCACCCAATGTCCGAGTTAGTCAAGATCTTTCTGTATCTTAAGCCTATCTTCTGGAGTGTTGGCTATTCTTGCCAGCTTTGTATCATCTGCAAATTTGATAAGTTCCCTATCTATCTCCTCATTCAAATCATTGATGCATTTATTGAAGAGTACTGGGCCTAAAACAGAGCCTTGGTGTACCTCACTGTATACTTCCCTCCATGTAGATGCAGTTCCATTGAGGACTACATGTTGAGTATGGTTGGTCAGCCAGTTACGAATCTATCTGGTGATGATGCTGTCTAACCCACATTTTTCTATCTTATCAAGTAGTAGGTTATGGCTACTTTATCAAATGGAAGGGACCTTGTAGGTCTTCTAGTCCAATCCCATACCATCTCAGACAAATGGTTTTCCTATCTCTTTTTAAAAACTTCCAGTGTTGGAACATTCACAATTTCTGAAGACAAGTTGTTCACTGATTAATTGTTCTAATCTGTCAGGAAATTTCTCCTTCGTTCTGGTTGCTTCTTTCCTTGTTTAATTTCCATCCATTGCTTCTTCAGGTGCTTCAGAGAATATATTTATTCCCTCTTTGTGGCAACCCCTGAGATATTGGAACACTGTTATCTTGTCACACGTAGTCCTTTTTTCACTATTGAATTTTGTTTTGTTAGATAGCACCCAATATTCGAGTTTGTCAAGATCCTTCTGTATCTTAAGCCTATCTTCTGGAGTGTTGGCTATTCCTGCCAGCTTGATGTCATCTGCAAATTTGATGAGTTCCCTATCTATCTCCTCATCCAAATCATTGATGAAGATAATGAAGAGTACCGGGCCTAAAACAGCGTCTTGGTGTACCTCACTGCATACTTCCCTCCATGTAGATGCAGTTCCATTGAGGACTACACATTTAGTGCAGTTGGTTAGCCAGTTACGAATCCATCTGGTGATGATGCTGTCTAACATTTTTCTATCTTATCAAGTAGTAGGTTGTGATCTATCAAATGTCTTACTGAAGTCCAAGTAAATTATATCCACAGAATTCCTCTGGTTCACTAATTTTGTCATTTTGTCGAAGATTGCAATAAGATTTGTCTGGCATGATCTGTTTTTGATAAACTCATTTTGGGTTTTGGTTATGACTGTTTGCCTCTAGGTGTTTGCTGATGCATTGCTTATATTTTCCAGAATCTTCCCAGGTATTGAGGTCAGGCTGATAGGTCTGTAGTTTTCTGAATCTATTTTTTTTCTTTTTTTTAAAAAAAGGTTTTTATTTAATAAACATTAAAAACATTGAACACGGTGTGACTATCCTGGTCTTGATATATCCATACATATTCTTTCCATAACAACAAATATAATTACTATTTGCTACTTTGTTCTTATATACATATCATATAGATATTTTTTTTTCCTTTTTTGAAGATGGCAACTATATCAGCTCTTTTCTAATCCTCTTGCAGTTCCCTGGTGCTCCAGGATCTTCGAAAGATATAGTTCAGTGGTTCTGAGATCACGTCTGCCAGTTACTTCATATATTTTTAAAGGTTTTGGATTATTGTTTGAATATGGCCACTTCATTCTGTATTATTGAAATTGTGTATAAAGTAGTTATGATTGCTTTGATTTGTTATTTTTTTCTGATTAATCAACAGTCATTTGTGTCCTAGTTATTTTTCTAAGATTTGAATTTATACTACTTTTTTCCTCTCTTTTGACAGTTCATTCTTCTACCAGAATAAATCACAAACCACCGAAAGTTGTAGGATCAACAAATTTACCAGGTATATAGTAAATGCTGTACATTCTTTCAAACAAATTTGAAATTTTGGAGAGGTTTTCAGCATTGGCTCTATTCACATGTTCATATTTTGCCCTTAAACAGTTCATGCCTCAGGAATGTTAATGCTATTCCTTTACTCTCTTTCATTACTTTCTATGAGAAGTGAAACAAATCAAGAAAACACAGGTTGTATTAAACTAACATCAACTGACTGGTTAATGGTTAAACTGAAGATGTCAACATATAAAATCCTGATTTATATAGTTGGTTTCTTTTCCTGGTTTTTTGAAACCTATTTACCATAATTAATGTAGTTAATAGTTCATTGATTGCCATTTAAATGTACAGGTAGTCCTCGACTTACAACTACAACTGAGCCCAAATTTCTATTGCTAAGCAAGACAGTTGTTAAGTGAATTTTGCCCCATTTTATGACCTTTCTTATCACAGTTGTTAAGTGAATCACTTTTGTTATTAAATTAGTAACACGGTTATTAAGTGACTCTGGCTTCCCCATTGACTTTACTTATCATAAGGTTGCAAAAGGTAATCACATGACCCCAGGACACTGCGACTGTCATAAATATGAACCAGTTGCCAAGCATCTGCATTTTGATCATGTGACCATAGGGATGCTTCAATGATTGTAAGTGTGAAAAACGATCATAAGTCATTTTTTCCAGTGCCGTAACTTTGAACGGTCACTAAATGAGTGGTTGTAGGTTGAGGATTACCTGTAATAAGAAACAGATTCCAAAAAAGAAGAAGAGCAGATGCACTATATGTAAGAAATCTACAGATCTCTACAGATATACACAATACCAAGGATGAAAGACTTCTTCAATTCTTCTGGTGACTATTACAAGAAAAACATTGTATTGGTATATACTAAACAGGCCACCCAACCAAGTAGAAGAAATAGTTGGCGCCGCAGGGACACAGACGGGGAAATGGCGAGCTCCGCAGAGCTTCGCCAAAACCCCGTCTGCTAAGCTGCTGCTGACAGGTCTGCGGACCTCCCCTGTCTTGCAGGGACAGGGGGACAAGAAGGGACCCCTTGGGCGGCCGAGAGGAACAGGCAGGTTCCTCAGGGCCGGAGGCTTTCCCTTCACGCTGGTGGCAGTGGAACGACAGCCATGGTGGCTGTCCCGAAACTGCGGCAACCGGGAACAAAGATCATGCTGGAGGAGAGGAGGAGAAACGGAGAAGAATAGAGAGCGAGTATCTTGAAGCCGGGTGAGTGACACCAACCCAGGCAAAACAACACATATATTTGGATTTTTTAAAAAAGACCCCAAACTTCAAATAGCGGCTACAGAGCTGTGGGGCTTGAAGATTGAAAAGGAAAAAAAAAATGGAAATGAAGACCCGAAATAGACTTTGCTTTATTAAATTTGGCTTGGAAGAATTGGCTTTTAACAACTCAGTAAATTGACTTTGCTTTTATTTGGAACGGATTGGAGAAATGTCTCTTTGGGAGTTTACACCTTTGAAAGTTAACGAAGCTAATGAAGACAAACAGACGGATGGCAACAAAATTGCCATGGAGTCTGCGGTGATTAAGCAGGAAAGTGGATTGAAGATATTTTTCTTTCCGTTTGAAAAAGAAACATTTTAAATGGCTTTTTACTTTGGATTACTTTGAAATTAACATTAGATCTATGGACTTTGGAGATTTCTATTCTGTCCCAGATGATTTTAAGAAGAAAGAAGGAATATTTTGGACATTTGACAGTGGAAATTAACAAGTTTAGCAAAAAAAATTAGGTGTGGCGCAGGAAAAAAAAGACAGGACAGGTTGATGCATCACACATGGAACAGACATTATAAAAGCATTAAAGGAACATACAGAATTTTTTTATTTGAATAGATGAACTTTGAAATGGAACATTTATGGACAGATAGAAAAAGGAAGAAAAGGAGGAAATAAAGTAATAAATTTTAAATGTAACTAAACTGAAATGTAAAGATTAAAAGCCTAAAGGTATACATGATTTTTGGATAAAAACAGAAAGGCTTCTGGAGTAATAAAAATAGAAAATAAGAGATGGCAATTAAAATAGAGGATGATATACAGGTGGTTAAAACAATAAAGAAGAGTATATATTACTGTGAGACAACTTTAAGAAAACTGTACTGCTTGATGTAATATGTTTTAATTTTAATTTGCAAACAAATGTTAGATTGATGATTATGCTGGATTAAGGTTTTATTGAGCAAACTATCAGATACATAGATATTAGTGACAAATTGTGATTTAATTAATATATGCTGGAAATGATGATTATTATGAAAGACTTAATTTGAAAGACTACGCTGGAAACTGACATAAAATAGATAATTATATGTTAAGGGGAAGTTAAAATAATAGGGATGGATACCAACTAGATAAGAGTTTGAGACTCGGAGGAAATATGTTGGAAACTAGTTAAAATGCTGGAAATCAGACAAACAATTATAGGAGAGTTGGATGCTGGAAATCAGCCAAACAAGAGTGGGAGTCCTGGAGGAGACTATGCTGTAAATCAGCCAAACATAATATGCTGGAAATCAGCCAATAAAATGCTGGAAATCAGCCAAACAGGAGGAGAGTTGGAGGAGAATATGCTGGAAATCAGCCAAACAGTGGAGGGAGTATAGGAGGAGACTATGCTGGAAATCAGCCAAACAAAATATGCTGGAAATCAGCCAATAATGGTGGTAGGCTTGGAGGAGACTATATTGAAATTAGCCAAAAATAGTTGATGTTCTGGAGAAGAATATGCTGGGAATCAGCCAAACAGAATACGTTGGATAGTAGCCAAATAATAGAGGGAGGTATGGAAGAAAATATGCTAGAAATTAGACTAAATAAAACATGTTTTTGTGATAAATCTGTGTAACGTGAAAAGTGTAATAGATGATAAGTGGGATAAAATCAAAGATAAATTGATAAAATTTAAGATATTAAGAATCGAGGAAAGGGTCAAGAGATTAAGAATTAGATAGAACTTTGTCTTATAAAGTATAATAAAATGGAGTGGTATGGAATTTGAAATTAAGATTTGTGCTGATATAATTGTAGGGTAAATAATTAGAATAAGAGGTTAGAATATTGCTAAAAATTTTTTTGATGCTGATGAAAGATAAAAGGTGAAGAACAAGATATAATTAAGATTGATTTATAGATATAAAAATGAGTGAAAGTTAATTTGAAATTAAAATTGTATTGATATAATGGATTTGTTTAGATGAAGATGTTAGAATTTATGTTAAAACTTTTTCTTTTATGTTTTGAATTTTTATTTGTAAAAGATGTAATGGGAAATTGTGAATGGAGCTTGTTAAAGAAATGTAAGCGTGGTAACCATCTATGGATCAGATCGAGACTGCTCTTGAAAGTTATATTTTATGTTTAAGTTTGAAAAAAAAAATATTTACAAAAAAAAAAAAGAAAGAAAAGAAATCTCCAGATCTCTACAGATATACACAATACCAAGGATGAAAGACTTCTTCAATTCTTCTGGTGACTATTACAAGAAAAATATTGCTATTGGTGTATACTAAACAGGCCACCCAACCAAATAGAGGAAATAGATGAATTTTTGGTTAATCAGTTAGCTGGTGTGTAGGAAATACACAATTATAATAGTGAGGGACATTAATAGGGAGACAAATTCTGCAGCAAGTGGGAGATCAAACAGGCTCCTGATGAGCCGAGTTGACAATTTCATCATCCAAATGGCAAAGGAAGAAACTGGAGGGTCAGTTACACTGAACTTAATCCTTACTAATAGGGATGAAATGTCAAAGGAGTGTTTTAGATTTCAAGAGAGTGTTTCTTGATTTCAACAAACTAAGAGATTAGGAAGGATTCCATTGATGGAAATTCTAAAGGGAAAAGCAATTCAACATTGGAAAACACTGAAAAATAAGATTAAAAAAGCCAAATCAAATGAAGCACCACAGAGAGAAAACAACAAGAAGAGACCAGATGAAACCAGCGTGATTCAACAAGGAGCTCTCTGACAAATTGAAGTACAAAAAAAAGTATAAAAATGGAAAGAGAAGCTCATACTAAGAAAAGAATACCAATAAATACCCTGAATCTGTAAGGGTGGAGTCAAGAAAGCTAAGACTCAGAAAGAAGTAAGACTTGCAACAAATGCCAAAAATAACAAGAGCTTCTTTTAATATGTAAGGAATAAGAAGTAGTCAAGGAAATGATCAACCCATTAATGGGAAAAAGGAATGCCAATCAAATAGGGAAAAGTTATTAATAGAATATCTTACTTATCCACTTTAGATGAGTTTAAATTGCTAGGACTAGATGGTTTACATACAAGGATTCTGAAAAAGCCAAATGATGTGATCTCCAAACTACTGAACAAAATCTTCTAGAGGTCCTGGAGCATAGGGGAACTGCCAGAGACTGGAAAGGAGCTGATGTACAATTTTCAAAAGAGAAAAAAATGAAACCAGGAAACTACAGACAAATCAGCTTGACATTAATACCTGGGGAAATTCTGGAAAAGATAAGCAATGGATCTGCAAATACCTAGTAGTGACGGATTTGTGAGTACCTACAAATGAAAAAGGTGATTACTAGAAACAGTCTGGACTTGTTAAAAACAGATTGTGCTTTATTGTCTTCTTTGATAAAGTGACTAAATTAATAGATCAAGGAAATGGTGCGGATATACTCTACTTAGACTTCAATAAGGCATTTGATAAAGAAGAGCACAGCTTACTTCTTGGTATGATAAAAACAATGTGGGATAGATCACAGCCTACCTCTCAGTAAGATAGAACAATGTGGGGTAGGCAGTACCATCACCAGATGGATTAGTGGTTGACCAACTGCTTTCAGCATGTAGTCTTCAGTGGAGTTATGTTTACTGTACATGGCGGAAAACGTGAAGGGGGAAAATATCAGATTCTATTTTAGAGCCAGTGCTCTTCAACATCTTAAATGATTTAAAAGTGGGGATAGAAGGGGAGCTTATTAAATTTGCAGATGACACCAAAGTAGGGGAATTGCTACCACCATGGAAGAGAGACTCGCAATTTAGAAGAATCTTGACCCACTTGAGCATTGGATCCTATCCAATAGGATGCAGTTCAGTGATGGGAAAAGTAAGGTTCCGCACTTAAGCAGGAAAAATCAAATTCACAGGTGCAGAATAGACAATACTTGGCTCTACAACAATAACTGTGAGAAGGCTCTAGATGTCCTCATGAACAACTAGTTAAGTATGAGCCAGCAATATGCTGCAGCTGCCAAAAAAGCTAAAGCAATCTTAGGCTGCATCAACAGAAGGGCAGCAATTAAAATGATAATGCTGCTCTGTATTGTAGTAGTGAAACCATATTTGGAATATTGCATTCACTTCTGGTCTCCATGACACAAAGAAACTGCTGAGACTCTAGAAAAAGTGTAGAGAGGAGTAACAAAATGATAGGAGTTAAACCATACAATAAACAGTTAACAGTATTAGATATGTCTGGTCTAATGAAGAGGAAGATTAGGGGTGACATGATAGCTGTCTTCCAATATTTGAGGGACAGTCATAGAAAAGAGAGAGTTGGCTTACTCTCCAAAACACCTGAGGGCAGGACAAGAAATAATGGACGGAAGCTAATTAAAGAGAGATCCAATCTGGAACTAAGAAATTTCTTGTCAGAAAAATTAATGGAACAGCTTGCCTCCCAGAGTTGTGGGTGCTTCATTGCTGGAGGTTTTTAAGAAAGGATTGGACAACCATTTGTTTGGGATGATATAAGGAGCCCTGCTCTGGGCAGGGAGTTCGACTAAAAGACCCCTAAGGTCCCTTACACCCCATGAGTCTATGTTTCTAAGTAATCTATCGCTAAAAATGTGAATCCTGGTTTGTCTATTAATCTTACAGAGAATGGAATGTGAGCAAAGGACATAGTCTTTATTTTTTAATGTAGCATTTAATTATTGAGATGCCATAAGTAAAGATATAACTTTGCTAGTTATACTGTAACAAAGACATCCTATGTCTGAAAGTCTGAACACATGTATTCTGTCATGTATGCCAATTAAATCTATTTCATGTCATCCTAAACTATTTACAAGCAAATCTTGAAATTAATTAGATTTACTTCTGAGTAAATGCATAAATCTTGAAGATAACATTGCTTTACTTGGATAATTATTATTTTAAATGCATTTTATTTTTTATGTACTTTCTTTTAACAAATATTAATTAAATTATATTTTCAGTCAAAGTTTATGTCAGGCAGCATCATAACAGTCCACATATTCTGTGTTTAACAAATCATCTGAGAAATTCAGAATTGATCGACCCAATATTTGAATGGCATGGACCAAGTGGTGATTTGGTTACAGGTATTTTCCTCCAGTATTACTTAATAATATTTTCCTGTTTTTTATCTAAAACAAGAACAGAATGTCAATTTATATGTACTCTCTTGTATTAAACTAAATATAAGGGGTTTAATTTAATTTTACTTATAATTAAACACAGATAAACCAAACTAATTGTTTTTAACAATTATGGGTAGTTCTTGATTTACAAGCATTCATTTAGTGACCATTCAAAGTAATGACAATGCTGAATGAATGATGGTTACAACCAATTCTTGAATTCTGGCAATCTGGGCACCCTCATGGTCTTGGGATCATGATCTGGGTGCTTGGCAATTGACTCTTAACAATCTTAGTTGTAGCTCCCCTCAATCATGTGATCATCATTTGCAACCTTCCTTATCAGCTTCCCCAGAAAGTTAGTGAAGAAGTCTCCCCCACCTGTATACCCTTCCCCAGTCTCTGCATTTCTGCTGCACTGATTATTGTGCATCCTTGCATCCACATCCAACAAGATCCTTGCTCTGCATCTCCCTTATACTCTTGAGTACCTACATGCACCCTTATGCACCCCAGTTCTTGTCTTCATATCACCCTCGTGCAGCCCCTTTACCCTTCCCTACCTACTGCTTGTAATTTACCAGCTTGCTAACTTGCTTGCTGCTTGGGATTTGAAATTTAAGCTGGCTTCTCCACTGCCTTGGTTGTGGGAAGCCGGTAGGAAATAGCCTCACCAAACTACTATAGTTTTTGGTTAATAATGGCAACCAGGACTGCAGACATTGCCATCGCTAAATTATGTGGATGCAACTTTATGACCAAATCATTTAGCAATAGAAATTTCAATCCCCAGTTGCCATTATAGATACAGATTTTGAAGTTCAAACTCCCAAATTTACTCAAAAAAATAGAGACATTCCTTAGACCAAAAAAGTTATGTTCTTCAATTTATATACAAGAGAAAGTTTTTATTCATATAGATAGGATTTAACTTTGGCTATATTGTCTTGCTCCTTTACACTTGTGCTTCTAATTGAAGAATTATATCTCATCTTAATGAAAGTATAAAATTTTTATGCATGCAATCTTTTCTTTTGTGCTCTAATTAGACTAAGTATCAACTGTAGATGACTGTTTTGTCTGCTCACTAGGTTAGAATTTTAGCTCATTCATAGCACTAAAAAAACTAAATGAGTAAAATGCTCACTTGCATATGATTATCATGAAGCAGAAATATAAGATGTAAGTATATTTATAAATTATAGATAGTGAGATTCGGTATGGTGTCATTGTCAAGTTTTAGACTAGAATCCCTGGTTGTATTCTACTCTCACCCACAGAAGCTCACTGGGTAACTAGGCCAGTCATTCTCAGCCAGCTACCCCAGAGCATTATTGTGTGTGGGGCAAAATAGGAGGGAGCATTATGTATGGAGATGTTATTACAGGTAGTCCTTAAATTAACAACTGTAATAGACCTTGTACATTTAGGTTGAAAGTAAGGATAATATTAAATAAATTGCCTCAAGTAATGTCTAGCTCTCCCTGCTCTCCCCAGCACATTCATTAAACAAAGGCATAGGTTATTAAATGGAGCTAGGGGGTGGGGTAGATCCTGGAGACCTAGTTTAGGCACAAGCCTACCTGCTTCAGGCCTTCCAAGGCCTCTACCACTTTGAGATACCCATGCTCCACTTCTGACCCTCTGGCTTGCTGCTCAGCTATTTTGCCAGAGAGAAAAAAATGGGGAAGGAAAATGCTGGTTAGACCTGCTTTCCTAATTTTGCCCCTGCCCTTCCTCCTTCCAAGTTGCCCTGCCTTTCTGGGACAAAAAAAAAAGGGGGGCCCCCCCCCCCCCAAAAAAAAGGCTCCCTAGCCTTTCAGAGCTTTGTGCCCTATCACATCCTGGACAGAAACTGTTTTGTTGGAAGAATTATTCATCTGGTTCAGTTCCAAGCTGGGAGAAATAAACTAGAAACATGGAGGCTGATTGGAAAAAAATGGTTCCATTTATTGATGAAGCAAAACCACCAACCACATATGTTTTTGGGACAGCTGACAAAATGGAGTTGAGTGTGTGTGTGTGTGGGGGGGGGTTATACCTTCTTTGAGATTTGTATTTGAGCTTTCTGTTCCTGTGCAAGAATATGTCCTTTAATATTCTATTGGCTGTTGTCAGATTCCTATGGGGTCATACAGGGGTTAAAAGAGCCTTGGTGGCACAGCAGACTAAAGTGCTGTTAAGTAGCACCAGCTGCCTGCAATTACTGCAAGTTCAAATCTCACCAGGCTCAAGGTTGACTCAGACTTACATCCTTTCGAGGTAGGTAAAATGAGGACCCGGATTGTGGGGCCAATAAGCTGACTGTATAAAAAAAGAACACCGCTTGGGGGGGGGGCGAAGCCCTACTAAGCAGGTATATACAAAAGCATGAAGGCTATTGCTTAAAGCATTGTAAGCCGCCCTGAGTCTCCGGAGAAAGGCGGCATATAAATCAAACCAATAAATAAATAAATAAATAAATAAATGTAAGGGTCATAGTTGGCTCTATAGGCAAAAGGGAAAATGCAAATTCTAGGTATTTGTCTAAGCTAATCTGGTCAGCCTCTGGCTTATTGTTTATCTGAGCTTGCAGGTGAAGTTTGGACTGCTCTGGGATGGTGTAATGAAGGAGCTTGTGTTCTGAAAGGATGTTGGGCAATTGCTATTGTGCCTAATGACTTTCGTCCTGTGTTGGATTTTGGGTGAGGGGCTGCTTCTAATCCTACCATTCTCCCTTTGTTTGGGTGAGGTGCTTCCCACAGTTCCAACTTCTCCCCTCAGGATGCCTCTACAGGGCATTGCATGCCAAAACAACTAGACATAAAAGATAGCCGTCCCCCCCATGCCATCACTCTGATCAACACCTAATTCCCACAGCACTTCTTGTGCCTAAAGATATTTATCCGTATAGTAGGACTGTATTGCTATTATTCTTTTCATCTTTTTCATGTTCTTCTCATCTTTCCTACTACCCTCTCACATCGGTACCTTATAATTTATCATGTGTTGTTTGTATCTTATAAATTATGATGGTGTCTGATGGTTTTTGGTCTATAACTTATCACTTCGTTGTTTGTATGTACACTGAGAGGTTATGTACCGGAGACAAATTCCTTGTGTTTCCAATCATACTTGGCTAATAAAGAATATTCCAATTCCAATATTCCAGTTCCATCAGCTGGTCCCTGATCTGCTGGCCAGTGGGTGGCTGCAAGCCTCTCCTGGTTCTTGCAAGGTTTTAGGAAGCCAATCTGTGTGTGCGAAGCAGCAGCTTCAGGATGAGCTTTCTCTTGCTTTATTTAACCCACTGGTTCCCAACCCTTTTTTGGCCATGCCCCACCTAAGCGCTCTAAAATCCTGATGCCCCTCTCCTCGTGACATAATTCTTACTATTCAAAAAGTGACTTCTACTCAGGCGGAGGAAGCCTAAAAGGCCCTTAACTTGGTTTAAACAATGTTCCAATTGCCCCCATTAAAAATCAAATTGCTCCTCTGTGGGGGTGGGCCCCACATTGGGAACCACTGCTTTAACCTCTTTCCTCCCCCAGAAAGCTTCCACAAACCTTTTCCTTGCTTTAATCTCCTCCCTGCCCCAGAAAGTCACAGTTCTTCAATAAAGAAAACAAAAAAATCTTGAGAGGGATGGATTTGTTAATCTCTCCCTCCCCCCAATTAGGTGTAAAAACTAAATTCCTGCCTGTTGTCCAATCTCTACCCCTTTTAAAATGCTTGAGTTAAGGCTGAAGGGTAGAGGAACAAGCAAGGAAGTAGAGAATTTTTTTTCTGCAGTCTTTTGCCTTGAGGAGCTGCAGAAGAAATTCAGTTAGCTGGCTATAGTATATCTGCAACAAAAAGGGAGATGTTGGGTCTTTGAAACAGCTGTTTTGCTGTTTATGTGACTATCTGAAGAACCCAAATAGGACTTAAAGGTGAGTTCTAGCTGGGTCCTAAAGGCAGTCAGACGAACAGCAAAAAGTTTCCCAAGGATCCAGTTTCTCTCCCTTTTTGCTGCACAAACAGCGAAATAAAGTTTTTAAGGAGCTGGCTTCTCCTCCTGTTTCAGTTTTGTTGAACTCTAGCTTAAACTTTCGGGGCTGAATTTTTTTTCTGCAGCTCCTCAAGGCAGAAAGCTGCAGAAGGATTTTCTTTGCTTCCTTCTGCTCCTGTACTATTCAATCTGAAGTCAAGATAAGGGATAGAGATTGGAGAGCAGAAATGGGTAGTTTAATTTTTGTACCTAATTGAGGAGGGGACTGATCATCAAATCTGTCCATCCCAGTTATTTTCTTTATTGAAGAACCATGGCGTTCTGGGGGCAGAAGGAGATTAAAGCAAGGAAAGATTTTGGGAAGCTTGTTCTATAGTTGCTGCCTTTGCATTCATGCAGAGGATAGCTTCCTAAAGCCTAGAAAGAGCCAGGAGAGCTTTGCAGCCTTTTGACAGCCATCTGATTGGAGCAGAAAGCTTGGAAAGCAGTTGCCATTTCCGCAAAAAATTGTTGGGGTGGTAAAAATGGCAGCTGCATCCAGGAGGCATGTGGAGTAGGCCCAAGCGCTGTGGGGTCCTGTTAGAGTGGGGTAGTGCAGAGGGTGGTTCAACATTCCTCTTGTAAGGGCTAACAACTGTAGGAGCTCTGCAGCTGTCATAACTTTGAAACAGAGTTGTCTGCAATTTTTGAAGTGTCTGTTGTAACTTTGAATAGTCATTAAGTGGCCTGTTGTTTCTCAAAACTACCTCTACATTTTATCTTACGGCCTTTAATCATAGCACTATCAGAGTAAACTTTGGTGAGATCAACAAAATATTTTTGAGCTAAAAGCCAGAATTGGCTATGCTGAATTTGCAATATATACATGCACCAGTGCCCACTAGGCCATGTTCTTTACAGCCCCTCCCTCCCCCCCGCCCCATATCTGAAATCCTTGGGCATAGGTATATGATAAATGTTATGTTTGGAAGGAGAAAAAGATTGCAGCTCT